TCGCAGAATTGTGCAGAAATTCGTTGCGACAGAGTCTGTCGTGGATATAACACCCTGTTTTATGAAAACGCTTTCAAAATCACTGTGTAAGCACCAATTTCGACACGAAACACTCGAAAGCGTTTCGTAAACCAATAGTGGCTGCAATGACCTAAAAGTCTATTATCAAACGTAATCATCCTCGTGAACTCCAAGGCTTCTTAATAAGTACGCTGTGAGATTATGTCTAAAATTCAAAATTCGTCAAAGGGACTATTAGTTTTTCAAAACCCATTTGCTTACGCAAATATTATAAGTGCAAAAATGAACACGGCGCACTGCAAAAATTTAAATCTCGAGGTTATCCTTTAAAATTCCAGTTTTTTAAGTGTTCACTTTTAGCATAGTGAAAACTTTACACATTTTTCCCAATAGTTTTTTCCTCGGTTTTTTCTGCGAATGGTGACTGCACGTGCCTATACTAAATTCAATTATCAATCGTGATTAGTCTTGGTTAATAAGGGAAAAAATAATAAATAATGCAAAATAATAATAATAATAAATAATCAGTATCTATAATACACTCAATCCGTATTGCAATGGCCCACCAGTTTCAATTATATAAAAATGTCCATTTGCCTTTACTGGCCTACTAAATTCAATTATTCAGGGACGAAAGTGTTCTAATCCTAAAGGGGTAGAAGACACAGTTTACTGATCCTATGGTATAGGTACCTACAGTATGTCCACATTTCGTAGCATCTCGAGGTATCTCCCTTATTGGAGGATATAGAAACAAGGTGAAATTAGCAACGTGCTGCAGAATTCTGAATATGACTTTTAATTTAATCTCAAAATGAACATTTACCAATGAAGTTTGTAGAAAACGCACTGAAACCCGTTAATTTCTCATTCTCTCAGTTTAAAAACAAATCTTTTGGTATCAACAAACATTCCTTTTCAGGTTATTACACCGCTATCTTTTGTTTTTCCATGAGATTTTGTTGACACAAAAACTTTGTCTTCAAATAGTGTCTTAATGATATACAAGTCTAAAAAATACAAAATGAACGGTTTTCTGGTTTTCACGGTGTTTTCCTCAAATACCAAACACCAAAAGTCTATTTTTCTTAATATTTACAGTGGAGAAAATTAATATTTGGCGACAACTCAAAGTTCAATCTTTGTGTTGGAGACTCAAGCAAGAAATAAGTAAAAATGAACCATTTCACAAAGACTATACGGGCCATTACATTTCCACTAGGCATAATGATTTGGGGATGATTGACTACAAGAGCGAACCAGTTTGAGCATAGTAGCGGTACAAAATACCATAATCGGATAGGCGGGTTAATCCCAAAAGTGGGAAGGAAAACTGTATCCAGTGAATGATATCATTTTCCAAAAGGATAATGCGTCTTTACCATACAGCTACAACTCGAAAGCTCTGTTTCAAAAATCAATGCATAAACGTTTTGGATTGACCCTCAAGCAGTCCTTATGACACAGGATTAAAATAAATCTTAGAAACAATCCTAAATTTTAATTTGAAACCAAAAATTCCGGAAATTTAAAATTCTGTTACACCGGGCGTTTTCATATTGGTTTAATTTGCCAATTTGTTTGTTTAGCTTAAATATGTTTAAACAAAATTGAAGATGTTTAACTATTAGATTTTTTAGGCATGCCGTTTCCAAACACAGATAATGAAATATGCGACCAAACTTCACGTAGCTTCACCTAAACACGCTTTCAAGGTATACGTGTCAAAAATGCAATAGAAATGCAATTATTGTATTAACAGGTCTGTTCATAAAAACGCGTTTCCATTAACCGTCCGAACCTCTCGATATAAACCAAACCATTCGATCTTCAACGAAAAGTCTTGCACATACGAATGGCCCACTAAATTCAATTATCAAACAAAATTAATCTCGCTTAATTAGTCCAAAAGTGAATTCCGCGCAGGCCCGTAACTAGCTAAAAAGATCGCCAAATTATAATCCAAAATAACTATAAATTTCAAATATACAAATAATGTTTCATTGTTCTCTTTCATTTTTGTACCCGCATACGTTTGAATATGTTTGGTTATTGCAGTAAGTGATCTACACGTTTACATAACGATTCTTCTATTGTCAGGGCTGCAATTTTTGTGTTTAAATGCCATAAAGGCATAATCCTTTCCCGTCTCAAAAATTACAATTTTTTAACAAAAACTTACTTTAACATAACAGTCCGTTTAGTGTGATGCTTGTTCCTTTCAGTTTCAAAACCTAAAAATCTTTCAAGAAAACTCGTTTTTACATAGGAATCTGTATATTGTGAATGCTTTATTTTCGTAGTACCTATGTAGGTATAGCATAGTTATTAATTCGTGTTTCATTTGATCAGGTATTGTTGTTTCCTTATTTGAATTTACTTTTACAGAATAAGCCGCCCTTAAAGTGTAGGTACATAAAAGCATAGCCTCTCCCCGTTTAAAAAATTGCAATTTCATTTTTAAAATAAAAGCTCACTTATACTTAACCGTTCGTCTCTTGTGAGGGCTGTCATTTTTAAGGTAGGTACTAAATACGCGTATGTATAGTATGGTTGTGTCGTGTAGATTTATATTCTGTGTAATTTTGTAAAAGAAACATTAACCTATTAACCATAGTTAGACAGAACAATGGCCTATTAAATTCAATTATCAAGGGCAATCAAATTCGATTAATTAATGAAAAAATTAATTCCGCACACATATATTTTAGAATTAGTGACTTAAAATGACCTGATAAGTGAAATTATTCAACATCATCAACTTCGTTTATTTCTTGGTTAATTGAGCGTAAAAAGTGAACACTTCACCACTGAAAGCACCCTACGGGTTAAGTTTGAGTTCTAATTTTCACTCAAAAAGGTTCAAAAACATTTTTTTAGAAAAATCGGTGAAAGTCCAATTTCTACATTTAAGCAAAAAAAGGGACTACATTCTTATATTTCTTGCGGATTAAAATCAATTTTAAACGACTTTCAGTAAACTAATTGATGCATTTAATCTGTGGACATTTTTTCGAATGGATAAATAGCTTTCCACGTGTTCTGAGTCCTGAGATCGGATACCCTCACGGACGCAATTTACGCAGGTAGGTATAAGCTTCTTTTTTTGTCAAAATTGGGCTATAATACAGAGGTATATAAAAAATTACCGTCAATGTCCGCGTTACGGTTCACGCGCGCATGCATACTTATACGTATATATCCGATTTGATTTTTTAGCCAGAATTTTTTGGTTGTTTCAGTTTTAAAAATGTATTTGGCAAAGTCCCTCACAGAATGGAGGAACAATGAGCAGAAACCTTAAAAAAACAATTGATTAAAAATCGATGTCAAATACGTGTAAAGTTAAAGGTAGAAAATGTATATACATCACACGACATTATATACATAAATGCATTAAATTGCACAGAGAAAGTTGTATAAATTTGTATCCAATCATTATTAAAATTTGTGTACAACTTGTATAGCATTAACCTTGTCGCGAAAGGTTAGAAAATATACTTCTCCTACATAAATTTCACCTAATTATTTTGCGGATAATCAAAATCCACTTTTATAAAGTAGTTATTTCCAAAAATAGCTTATTAGGTTACCTACGCTCTCTAAATCCGCCACTACAATAAAAATGTAGTTTATAGGTAGGTAGAGTATAACATTACACTAATTAACTAAAGGATCTTCATCATTCTTTACATTTTTGTTAAACGCGCACAGTGTCATTGAATTCGATGATACCTGGATGCTTTACGTCAGCAGGTATAATATGATGTAAGAATTGATGAAATCATAATTTCTTATACGCACAAGACGGACCTAAACTCAACCGATATCGGAAATCATTAAAATACCTCCGAATTATTTGCGTTTTTTTCCAAAAGGCCCATTCGTAAGCATTTCTGAGATCTTGTACGGTGTATTCTTGTAACAAAAGGCCACTTGCTTCATTTGCATTCTGCTCTGATTTTCACATTCTCGCATACTGCATTGCAAACAAAATAGAAAAAAATGTGCATTAAGTTAATAGAATGCATACTGCCAAGGTTACCGTTTAGTTTCATTGTGAAAGGTACAACAAACTTGTTTTTAATAATAATTGTCCAACAATTAAATAGTTTGTAGTAATTCTTCAAGATGTTTTGATATTAAATATCAATAAAAGTTTAATGCGTAGTGTAAAAAGCCAGTTTGTTACTTCAAGAATGCGTGCCCCTAAATAGCTTTTAAGTATTTCCTGTTCTTAAATGTTTTTCTTAAGAGTTCATTCTGCTAACGAGAGGTATTCAGAAACTCAAGATATCACCAAGTAAAAGATTCATTTGCTCAGAGCTACCGGTAATAGGGGGTTGTTTTGTAATTGAAAATCCACGGTAGATAGTAATTGTGGGAGCGCTTCATGATCTGTTACCTATTACTTTTCATGACTTCTTGTAGACCATTACATAATTTATAAAATAGTTTCACTATCACTTTGCAACATTTTCTCAGACTTGTATGTAAAACTTAACATTTGCAAACAATGTAAGTCCAATACTTATGGAGTAAATTGTATGTAAGTCAAATTTAAAAAATCGAGAGTTAATTTCCATCCCATGGTCATCGGCTTTTAGTGTAACATGAAAGTTTGTAGCAAAAGTCGCACAGCCAAAGGCAAAAACCATATTTCTGAATATTATAATTATTAAGTAGGGAACATTAAAGGTTTCACACGTTTTCCAAGAATGATACTAAGTACCGCAGTAGTGAATTTGTATTTTTTTAAATAATTATTCCGGTCTAACAGGATGTCATTTGAAATTATTCGCAATAAAATGATGATTTCATTTTTCCCGGGTATCATTTTCTGAATTTTCTGTGAATTGCAGGGCCTCTAAGTCGATTTGGAGTTGAATAAAAACATTAAAATTTATTCAAATATTTGAAATTTTCGTTTTATATATGAGACTAACCCAGAAATGTTGTGAAAAAAATTGGGCAAATACCTGATATTGTTCAAATTCTGAAGATCCTTCTCACATAAGAATTACTTGAACGTATTCACTATTTCACATTACACACAAACTTAATTCTCCTTCCTTAGCACGACTGTCATATAAACACATAACTTAGTTGCGCTCAGGTAAAAATAAGACCACGCAGGCGCCAAGGTAAGCATATTTGTCGATTACCACGTGCATTGTTCGGATGATACAATATTTAAAAGCAGAATTGAATGAATATGTTTACTGGAATCCGTTTCAGTCGCTTTAATACAACAATTCATTTTGCTTAAATTTTTTGGACACTTTGTTCCGTAATTAAATCTAATCTTACCAGGATACCTACATAATGAAATCTGTGAAAAAATAATGTCGCACAATTTAACTGAGTCATTCCACTTTCGTATTTGAAAAATGTTATTACAGGCAATGGACCAATGGTACAGAACTTTAGGCATAAGTGTAAAGGGGATCAAATCTCAGAGATGGGCAATCTATAACGTAGCACACTACATATTGATTCAAAGTATCAAAAATATGGGATTATACATATATTTCGCCGTTCCATTTCAACTACAATAAATTAGAGAAACCCAGAAAGAAAAACCAGATGAAGGTACCTATAGTGAGTATACCTAGTATATACCTACACATGACTTACAGGATTAAAAGTAGATTTTGGGGATGGTGTGATTCAAAGACCAGGGAAACAAACAAGAGTTATAATCATGCGTAAGTGACACGTGCGCGTAATAAATTTTAAGGCTGCCGTTTAAAATTTTTATTAACGAACATGCCCATGCCCATGCCCATGCTTCCAGTGCAGACTGTAGACCTATATACAGCCTATCTACTGACTGAAATTATGATTTCACGCGTCTACTATTCACAATGAAACAAGAAGTAACTTTAACTAATGGCGATGTCCTTCCTTATTTTTCGGGCTACATTGCCAATTCCCGAACTCCGATATACAAATTTGACCTGCAAAATTTCATCGTAATCATTGTCGAGATATTGTGCTAACGGGCAGACGGCCAGACATCCCAACATTATGAACTCGCTAGAAGCTCGTTAATATAATCATACCGCTTATCAATCCTTAAATTGAAAGCTGCAATTGATAAGAATGGATTCAAAGGACATCCAAAAGTATTTTGCCGCTGCTATGCCCTAATTTGAAAAGTAATTATACTAAAGAATTTGACGCTTTTAAAAAAGAAATGTTGGATCACGTAAACGTCATGATTTTCAGTATAAATATACTAACTACACCGCAAAAAATTAGTTGTTGGAGGAACTAAAAATTATATTCCCAGCAGGTCCACTCGTATTTGCAGTAGAATTTACATTTGCTAATATTGGTGTTTCGGTTAACTTATGTTATTGTTAAATAAGCCATAATAATTTTGTTAACTTGTCAATGAGTTTGTGTAGCAGCAAATTTATTTTGTAGTCATTTTAACAACCTGCAATTGCTACCCCAGCATTTCAAATTGTTAATTTTACAAGGACTTCGTTCGTGCCCAACAAAAGAATGATGTCAACTATTGCACCACTTCTTTGTACAATTTCACTATCTTTCAGTTGTTACAATTTACAACACTAGGGTGTTTTTTTTCACAAATTCGATTGACCTAACAAATTTGTGTTTTAATTTAGATTTTTGGCCAGGTATAGAATAGAAAATACGGCGTTTTACCTAATTGTAGTTTTATATTTACCTAATAGTAATTTTATACATCATGACATGAAACGAGTATTTAGCTAAGAAAATCTTGGGTTTGGCCATTGAATAATAAAAGATTTATTATTCAATGGTTTGGCTAAATACTATGTTTAAGATAACCCCAACGGAGGAAATCCCAAAAAATGTTTCTAGAAAATCTGGACGAATTAGTGCTCCTTCGACGTCTTCAAATTCTATCTCTCTTCCAACAATTTCTGGGAATATTCTGTATGCTAGAAAAGGAAAATACATAAGACTCTAAGTCATCATTTTTCTCTCGAAATGCCGAATTGGCAAAGTAGATATGTAGTTATACTTACCATATTGATATTTTAAATAAACAAAACACACAAAGGCGAAACGACACAATCTTCGAACAGGGGCTGACTGAATGAATTAAAATGAAAAATACGAATAAGCAGTTCAGAACAAAGCAAATATTTAGTATGCAAAACAATTTGATTATGATACGCACACTAAAGCATAATATGTTAAGTTAGCAACTTTTTTCTTAATTTTGTTACTTTAACTACAATATCTTGTGAATTTTGACTAGTACTTGTTATTGGATTGTTATGTGCAATTGACAAAAGTAGAAAGTCAAAACAACGTCGACATTTAGTAAAAGGCAACAATAAGATCTTTTGTCAAATTTGAACTTGAATATTTGTTAGGTTTCCAAATTTATTTTGCGAAATCGACATTAAGCTTTTTTTCATCGATGACTGCGAGGGAGATGCCAAGTTAACAGAAATAAAAACTTAGTATTGACTAAAATTTAATGTGTATTAACTTTTTGTTAAAAGTGGCAATACATTTTTTACTGTGTAATATGGTAGACGACCTACAAATACAAAGATACAGTAGGCGCCATTGTTGACTTGTACAAGAAGTGTGTCAAAATCACCAAGAAGTTAAAGACCACGTGCCGATACCATGAATTATATGATTGTGCGTTTGATCAATCGAAGGTAGATTGCTGTCATAGAATTGGACTATTCTCTCAAACTCCCGTGTGGTGGAGGTACCCATCGGGTGGTAAATAAAGAGACTTGTTTGCATGTGGATAGTCGGGGCTAAAACTTAAACTGGTAGCCACGAAGATCATCGCCGTGGACATACTTTCCAGGGATCACCGTGTCAAGTGGTGCCTAAGGCGGTGTCGTGTCCGTCGGCTCAGGGGAGCACTCCGACGTCAGGGATCGTGCGTCTCAGGTTGGAGGGGAACACTCCAAGGGTCAGTCATTCGCGCAATAGAGAAGAGATCCTTCCCTCGGCTGGCAGGCTTCCACGGGAATCCTCCGGGTGCATTTGCAGCCAATTGCGAGGACCAGCGGACCTTGAACCGTCCTTGTTACCAGGCCCTGGGACGGTGCTTCTTTGAAAATTTAGAGGTACGTCCCTATGGTTACCAAGGTGATGGCCGTGTTGTACGGGTTTCCGGATGCAACGCCATAACCATCTTGAACCACCTCCAAATGCAAAATCACTGTTTCAGGACGGGCCTTTGAAGACCTTTCTTCCCCAGAGAGGAGCCTCCTTTGCATTCCGTGTCAATAATCCATCTTATCGGGCACTCCATGCGTACACGGGGGCCTCGCACGTAACATTAGTGACGAAAGCGGGTGCTTAGGCCACATCCGAAAAGAGGAGAGGACTCCACCGGCGCAACGGGGCCTAGTTCTGCTACGACGAAGCTTACGCAACTGGTCCTGACCGGAGAAAGTTCGTCTGATCCGGAAAGGGGACATTGACAGAATTTATTTTTGAAATTGAGATGTTGGCTTAAGCAACCCCCCAAACGAATGGAATTAATTTACACTTAAAGTAATTGTGGGTGCCACGTTGGGTTCATTTGAGGACAATCCAACATAATCCCGTTCATCCGAGTAGTTGTTTTGAGGATGATCTGCTATTACCTGGAAGAACCCTTTTTTGCAATTTGTTCCTTGTGGTTTGTGGTTTCTTAGCTTGAATGTTAATGTGTTTCTCACGTTACTTTCATTATTTGATGCTTGGTCTAAACGGTCACTGAAAAATAATGTTATAGAACCGTGCGTTGTAGAGTACCTATGATGTGTGCTTAAGTGTGTATTCGTTATAACAAAATTTCTTTCAAGAATTAGCAGAAAAGCCATTTTCTTTTTGTTGAGAAAGCGTTTTGTTATGGTTGTTTAAACAGTCAATCCCTAGCACTGTTATTTCTGTCGATCACTGAACCTTAAGGCTGGAGAGTACACCCGTTTCGTTGCCCGAAAACGCTTGATTTCGTTCCGCGATATCTGAATTCTGAGTGAAGATGAAGAAGGGGTGAATATTCCTGTGAAAGGTGAATGCTTTAACTAGACAATAACGCCGGGATTTCTTAAAATGTTTTCAAATAGTTTTTTTTTTAGAGGGCTGTTAGGGTTCCATATTTTGAAAAAGAAAAAAAGGAAACAAATTTTCCTGGCGATATTGCCTAGATATTAACTTTACGAACTTATAACAATTTTGGAAATTGTTCCCACTTCATTCATAGATAAAATAAGATAAGTTATCTTAGAAAAACGACTTAAAAGTTTATCTCAAGAGCGCAAAAATATAGCTTCCGCCGTGCGGCTTGTTTTATACAGATAGAAAATTTGCATTATAATTTTTACCTAAGTTTATGTTTCTACCATCGAACGTAAATTAATATTATAAACAACCAAATGTGGGAATTGTCAATAGGCAACTTTACATACTCCGTTCTGTATGTGGACTGACCTATGCAAATGTTTATAACCACTTTCTAGGATCTTGAAGTTACTTTCGTTTGATACCTTTACCGCAAGTGCTACTTATAGGTAGTAATTACAATATTTTGACACAGTACGGGCCCCAAAAGTTGGTGGCCCTTTTCTCGTAAATTACCTAACGACGCCGCTGGATGAGATATGGCAACATGCTGTACATGACAACTGACAACACAACACAGGAATAACAAGCACAGCTGATGCAAATTGCAATTTACACATCATTCCATACCTTAACTAATATAACCTGTATCTTTCCCTTTTTGTAACTAAAATGAATCTGCTTTAAAACGTAGGAGTCAAACAAATATAGATAATTCATAACCGATATCGTTCCATCCTCCTGTACTTTATTTAATTTATACGTAAATAATGACTTATTCCGGTTGTGTTCATTTAGAACAGTTCATACGAGAAGATGAGGGTTTAAAGATGTACGAGTTACTTCACGGAGTGTTTGTGATTAGTGGATCGCGCGAAAGGCGTCAAGCGAAATCGTCAAACACTCATTGTTACGTTTGTTACGAGAAACACACCTTTTTACATGTATGTATGCATTGTACATTCTTCGGATGCCAAAGTCATATTCGAGAGCATTCAAAAGTGAAAAAACACACTTTTTCTATGGATCTTCATTATGGCCAAATATATTGTAGCCACTGTACTGATTATGTGTATCACGAGGAACTCGACAACATTGCTAGGTCAAATGCTTTACATGGGGATCGAGTAAATAAGTGTGTATTAGAATTAGTGTGGCCGTGCTTATGCGTTGAGGACAAAGAGTTCTTCAATAAGACTGATAAAATGGTTATTGATAGGGCTACGCATATTGGTTTGAGAGGATTATTAAATTTAGGTTCCACCTGCTTTATGAACTGTGTGATCCAAGCAATGACTCACATACCCGTTTTAAGAGATTATTTTTTTACCGAACACCATCAATGTAATGACACGCCCTCAAAATGTTTAATAACGAACCTATTTCGCGCATTTTACACTGGTGAAAAAACACCACTTCTCTTGAACGAGTTTTTGTATTTAATATGGACTCAAGCGCGCCATTTAGCCGGTTACGAACAACAAGATGCCCATGAATTTTTTATCGCAACTTTAGACATGCTACACATACATTGCCAATCATCTCCTGGGCAACCAAATTCCTCTGGAAGCAAAGCCGCAAGCTGTACTTGCATTATAGACCAAGTGTTTACAGGTAGTCTGCAAAGTGATGTTGTTTGTCAAAAGTGTTCCGGTGTCTCCACAACCTTGGAAACTATGTGGGACTATTCATTAGACCTCACCCCATCGGTCACCGACGGCTCCTTGCCAAGCTCCTTAGAAGATTGTTTGGAGAGATTCACCGGCACTGAAGTTCTAGGATCCAACTCGAAAATATTTTGTGATAAGTGCCAATCGTATCAAGAATCAACTAAACAGTTTACAATGAGAACTCTTCCAGTTGTCCTGTGCTTTCATCTAAAACGTTTTCAACATCTCAATGATCTCGAGAAAAAAGTGTCGGCAAAAATCAAATATCCCGAACTTTTAGATATGACTCCCTTTATGACAAAACAGAAAAAGGACACCATTTTGAATTTACAATTACCTTACGATAATAAATATCTTCTTTTTGCAGTTATTAATCATTTAGGTTCCTCAATTAATGCAGGGCATTATATTTCTTACATTCGATACAAAGATAACTTTTGGTATAAATGTGACGATTTAGTCATTTCTGAAGCCGGAATCGAAGAGGTTCTGCAATCGGAAGGATATTTATTGTTTTATCATAAATATTGTTTGGAATATCGCTAATTGTGAATTATCAGTATTCGTAATTAAGACATAATTTATTTCACTCTTAATGTAATTGTAACTATTGTGAATCTTGCAATTTGTGCTTAATGGTTTTTAATCTTGGTAGAGGATGCCATGTGCCCACATATTGATATTTCATTTGTCCATGGCAGTACAGTTCGTATTCAATTCATAAATGATGATTGTCTGTGAAAATATTGAAACTTGACTGTGAATTATGTTAAAAAAATGATAATAAAATACCTACCGACAACCACAATGAAAAAAATTTGACTTATTAACTAACCATATCTTACTAATGATTGGTTACCCTGTTGAGCCTAGTCCCCCCACTGAATGCTTATAGCCCCCGACCTCTGACCTCATTTACTTTGTGCATGAATTTCTTAGGGTCAACTGACCAGTAATAGTAAATGAAATATTGATATATCTTCTTATAGTAATGAGGTATATTCATATTAAAATCTACTAATACTTGGCAACTGGAGGGTTGCTTGTAGATCTTTTTAATATAATTAATTAAGGAAATATAAATATTTGATTTACCACAAAATTTACAACCCCTTCAATCGAATACTGCAGCGTAGGTAGGAGAGAATTTTCTTAAAAATTACGAATGTTTAAAACGCGATGGGATTTTACATGTACTTGGCAACTGGAGGGTTGCTTGTAGATCTTTTTAATATAATTGATTAAGGAAATATAAATATTTGACATACCACAAAATTAACAACCCCTTCAATTGATTACTGCTACGTAGGTATGAGCGAATTTTCTTAAAACTTACGAATTTCTAATACGGGACGAGATTTTACTTATACTTGGCAACTGAAGGGTTGGTTTTGTAGATCTTTTTAATTTAATTCATTAATGAAATATAAATATTTTACTTACCACATATTGTTACGTAGGTAAAGCGAATTTTCCTAAAAAATACGCCTTTTAAAAACGAGATGGAATTTTACTTGTAATTGGAAACTGAAGGGTTGTCTGTAGATCCTCTTATTATAATCGATAAAGGAAATAAAAATATTTGACGTACAACAAAATTTACAACCCCCGCAATCGAGTAAGTACTGCAACGTAGGTAGGAGCGAATTTTCATAAAAATTACGACTTTTTAACACGAGCCGGGATTTTACTTGTAATTGGAAACTGAAGGGTCGTCTGTGTAGATCCTCTTATTATAATCGATCAAGGAAATAAAAATATTTGACGTACAACAAGTATACATTTTATGCTTTGTAGATTTAAACAATGGTAGAACCCAAAACATCAAGAACTTTCGTGATTATATAGGCGACTTGCATCAAAAGTCCCTCTCGTCTAAATGAAAATAGTATGACGACAAATCATTTTTGTGTGCCTCCATATGTTACGGTGAAATTATAATTAATGCGGCAATTATTCATAATCACCGGTAAATCTGATAAATTTGGGGTACGTTTCCTTTCAAAACTGTAGGAGAAGGGAAACCTGCCTTTTATGAAGATATTGAATTTAAAAAAAATCATTCCGAAGGCTGTTCAAAAAACATTCCTTCAATTATTCACATTTAACAGTTATGAATAATGGCCGCATTAATTGCTTTGAGCGTAGTACGTAAATTCAATGGTTCATGTATAAACGTATTGCAAACACGTGGTCAAGCGGCTGCATCTGTTTCTCGTTATCAACATTGCAGTTAAATATGATTACGTATGTTCGGAATTCATTTGCGAATGAATCGCCAGTAAGTGCGGCAGTGTAGTATGTATATGTACTCCGTTCCTATGAAACTTCTATACATTCCACGTGAAAAGGGTGAGTTCTGTCTAACTTTATTTTATTCAAGATTGGTTGGTCCATCGAGAAACTTTCCTTGCAAATAAATAAATCAAAATACGCTCAGACACTAGGTACTCCTTAGTTTTTGAGGAATGAGCTTTTTTGATTCGGGAATGAAATTTACTGCGACCAGACTCCGCCGAGTGAATTTGATCGAATGCTTTTGAGAAATTACACAGTAGATTAATTCAAATTTGTGCTACCTACATATAACTAAATCGGGTTAAAAGACGCGTCATTTGTAGGTAATACCATTGCATTTCATCTATGCTAATAGATATGTACCTACCAATCCTTTACGACAAACTGGACAAGAAAACATTTTTGTTGTTTATTTCACATGGGATCAAGTGGGATGGTAACTCCCTCACAGATTGCACTGCTACATCCATAGTCCGTATAGTGGACAAAAAAGAAGTGTCTAACCTTGATGTGTTTTGTCCTTTTGTGAAACTCGGGATTATGGGCAAGTCGAATGGCAGCTTCATTATCAACTTTCAGTGTCAGCACGCCCTTATCAGTTCTGACATATTGCTGAATTTTCTTTGAAGCCAACTTTGCTGTTAACCTCCAGCATATTATGTTAGTAGCAGAGCGTCCTGTCTTTAATGATCAGCGTGCATCACTGTATACCCTTCGATGACTCCATTGTTGTTACTAACACTATGGCACTTGATACCTAGAGCTAAAGTTCCTTTTAGAAATCTGAATATCCTTTTCACATTCTGCCAATCACTTTTAGTTGTATTCTGCAGCTTTCTGGATACTAGCCCTACAGCATATGTTATGTCGAGACGTGTTTCGACCATGAGATAGGCTAAAGCACCTACATTTATGTATAATCATCCACTTTCCCTGATTCGATAAGTACTTCCTTCTGTACAGGTGCTGCGACTGAATTACAATCCATCATGCGAAAGAGCTCTTCAGAATCTTCTTCGTTATAGGATTCTTACTTGTAATGGATCCGCCGCCCACTTGCTCTATCTCTAAACCTAAGAAGAATGATGCCGATCTTTCAGTAATTTTCCATTTCTGTTTCGGATCAAATAAAAACTCATTTGTGTGTTTCTCATCACTTTTGCTGCTATAAGACCCTCATCTACATATATTATAGGTAGGTACATGTGTATAATGAGTATATCTCCTTCTCAGGAGTCTTTATAAGCAGGCAGCAATCAGCGTCTCTGCTTAAAATCAATTTCAGGAAGAATCTCTTCAAAGCAGGAGTTCCGGCACCTTGGTGGGCTTGTGTCAAATTCAAACCAAACGCAAGCTTCTGTTTAATCGACAGACTTTCCAAGATGCATCGCTGAAGTCATCTGATGGCTGCTGCATATTCTGTTACCTTTCCATTCAGGAACGCTGAGGAAATGTCGAACTGTTCCAAGTGTAACTTTTGTTTGTAATCAATTCCTTTTCGTTGCCTGAATCCTTTTACTACGAGCCCTGCTTTATACTTTTTCATTAATTGACGCATCAGGATATTTCTTTGCAATTAGGTGGTTCGCACAACGTTCACACGTGATCGTTTTCTTTAACTGATTTTAATTCACTATTCATGGCACCTTGCCAATTCTTGTGATCTGCGCTCTCCCTTGCTTCCTTGGACGTACCTATTTGGGAAGGAATCTGAGCTTACTTGCTATACTTCTTAGACCGCGTAATCGCTTCTCTGCTTCTGAGCCTGTACCTCGCGTCTCATCATGCTCATCCTCTTGAATGTCGACTTATTGCTCAAGCACTTTGACAACAGGTAAATCCACTTTATGATCAATGATATTATGATCTTCAGTTTCAACAGGTCTAGGATGTTCATCAGGAACTGGCTGAATAACACTTGGGCTTGTTGAATGTTGATCTTTCTTCCTCTAGAGCTTGATCAGGAGACACACTGTTCTCTGAGGTACATTCACCCTGATTTACAATTGGATTCACTTCCTCTTGTTTGTCATCTTCGTTTGTGACTGGACCTCTTGGCAAGTGTCTCAGCATCTTTATCTCTAAATTCCCCCTCATATGCACAAAGATGACTTGTTAAGATTGTTTTTGGTTCTGTTTTTCTGATTCAACAGCCTCCAACTTGATTTGAACGCTAAGTCGTCTAGGATCATTTGCAGATTAGGAACAGCTCAGGTAGTTTTGTTAGCATCGTCTTTGGCGATTTAAGCATTTAAATTATTCCAGACGTTCTTAATTAGTTTCGATATGAGTGTTGAAACGTCATATCTTCCTTATCATGTTTAAATCCGACAAACACCATACACAATTATATGCCCAGTCTTCAGACTGCCCATCGAATAATCTACCCAATTCCTGCCAGCGACTTCATACGCTGTCTCAAATCTCATTACCTTTTTTAATGTCTCATCTTTCTGTCATGTTCATTGTGATAATGAGCAGAGCGCTACTTTCAGACTTCTTGTACTTGGCTAATTGCAAAGTATTGTCACTGACAATCTTCAATCGGTTTCTACACCTTACGTTCGACTACCCCCATGGCACCTTCTGCACCAGGTAGCATTATAGAAACCTTGTATTTCCAAGTAGCCGAGTTTGCCTATCTTTCCAATTTGAAGTTTTGTCGAAAATACTTCCATCTTCAACCTGTTACGTACTACCTATTATTCTTAAGTCTTTATCTTTTTAACTATTAGTAATAATGAGTTGTATTTTCACAAATGGTTTAAAAATGGATTCCAAGTTTGTTAATGAGAAATAATGCACATTTGCTTAATATTTGTAGTGTGTTTTTAATAAAATTTTCTTCAATTGAGAAATTGTTCAATGAGCAACTATAGTTTGATTGATGTGATCGAGTGGTTCCAAAAGTAAAACTATAATCCACATTTTCAAAAAAGTCTTTCTGATATTGCACCTTAGAGATCATATGAAAATGAAATAAATAAGCCCAATTCACTGTATTAGCGAATTCCATTCATAATTAAAATATAATTGATGAAGCACTTAATTCCATTTGTGATTAAACAGTTGACTACCTGAGTCGTAAAGATCAGCACTTACCACTCTTACATTCTGAGCACTTGTCCAATAAATAGTAGCTAGGTACCAGTCATTGTGGTGCAATTACTTTGGAAAAGAACTCAAAGCTTACTCCTGCAACCTGTTATCGCGAGCATTTTTCAATTATTAACTCCTTTTAGTAATCACGCGCTCTTTCTACATGGTATTGCAAGGAATTTTGTTTATCGTTTTTATAAAGAGTAGAAAGTAATAGTACACATTGTGGCTATAAAGGATACTGCAATTAGGTACTAAAAAAGCTCTGGAACCGAAATTCTTTTTTTAATGGAAAACTAAAGAAGCTTCCGAGACATTAGCTTTTCATAGCTTTAAAATAGTTCGCAAGCAATTACTGTTTGAAAGAGCTCGATCTACTTCCAGTTCTGATTTCAATGCAATAGATCTCTCCTCTTTGGCAATGTCTGGTTTTACACACTTCGACATGTACTTATACCAAAATACGTCTGGACACGCTTTAGGCTTTCAAGGGTGTGTGGATGTGATTTTCATCCTTAGCACCATTGAAAGGAGAGTACAGCGATACTATGCTTCTATATAAAGAGGAAGAAATAACCAGATGAAAATGTTTCCTATATAGGCACGCGCACACCGTTATCGCAAGAATGAGGATAGGTTGCCAATATTGTAATTTTTAAGGTAGGTACTCACAAGAAATAATGGAGATGATCTTACAGGCCCATACGGACATATCACAGACTCCATCTTTTCCGGAGAGTTTCATCCACAAAACGCATGGAACCCGAAGTGCGGACGTTCTTAATCTAAGCTACTCTAGTAGCGGCGTCCAAGAAGTGAGATGCTAAAAACTCACACACGAGTGCTTTTAGACATGGAATACACGATACCCATTAAAAGTTATGGATTGGGCGGTATTAAAGAAGCGAAAATTCTGGGCGTTTAAAATATGAAAATGGAATTTCAATTGAAAGTTTCATTCATGGAATCGTAGTATGCTCGGCCTTTAGGTGCCTACATTACCAGATCAGTATACATGTAAAGTGAAACAAATATGAGATGTTTCACAGACAGAAAATTCTTTCGGGTAGTCTGTAAAATGATTATCTATCAACTCACTTAGCAAGGATTTGATTTTCTTTTCCCTTGATTTAGTCAGTTTCAATGAGAATTACCACATTCAACTTTGTTAGTCATAATTTTTATTGATCACTGAAATTTAAATAGTGGTATTTAGAGTAACGTGGCTTAGATAGTAGGGGTTAATTTTAAATATTCATCGTAAATGAAAGTGGAGTTTGAATCTATTTTGTTTCGTCAATATATTAAATCTTTCACTTGAAGTTTGTATTTATACTGTCTACAGTCACTTGACTCCAAACTTTGATTTTCAGGATCAAAAAAAGGGGGAAAATTTGTCAATAAGATAATTGCAGTGAAATTGCTTTTAGGGCTAGCCATCTGCCAACTAATATCTTGGGAAAAATTTCATTTTTGCAGTAGAAAGTTGATTTTAATTCGCACGATTGAGCGGATGGTCAACCCTTTATTGATGTAACAAACGTTACACTTCCTCAGATCATTAAGCATGAAAATTTCAGTAGTTATAACTGCTTCTATAGTTTGCTTCATTTCGATCGAGATATTTGGGCAAACGTAAAACAGTATACTCAAATGTTTTGTTATAGTTCGTTCAATAACGACGACTTAACACACATCTAAAGAAACAATTGACTTCACCGGATTTAATTGGTAAAGCTGCAAGTTTTCTCATCTAACTCAATGTTCCATATTTTCATCGAATAATATTTTATCCCAATGTTTGATGTGGTTAATTTGGACAGGTGCAGAGAAGATATATTAATTTGGGAATTGTAAAACAGTTCCGAAGAATGAAATAGGTAATATATGGTGGATATTCAAATCATTTAGGCGACGCGTCAATGTTTTTAAAGCTTTTCTGCAAAAACTTGTTTACTTGCGTCGCAGGTGATGGGGAACCCAAGAATGTTCAAATAGGTTACAGTTTGAATACCTGCGCATAGTTCTTGAAAACGTTGAGCGATATGTTCATCATAGGCAGAGGTGAAAAACCATTGACATTTAGATATGTTTATTTTAAGGCCAATCCTTTCACATCCTTCCATTAGAATTCTTAAGTCTTCTAATATCACGTTAGGATCACCAGCCCATGTGATGATGTTTCCTGTTAATGAGTATCTTGAAGCCGCGTTCTCATTTAAAAGTCTTAGGATGGTCGGAAGGAGGGTAATGCGGGCATGACATTAGGCTGGCTGAGTTTTGGATCTTCAGAGAATATTGAGAGGTACGGATATCTTCACAATCAGTACATATCCAAGGCGTTAATTTGTCTTTACTCAGGTCAAGAACTTCCAAAACCTGAAAGTCCAATACAAATGGAGTGAAACCAAAGATTGCAATTAACACAGCAAACTATACCTATTTCATTACAGAGCGAAGTATGAAATAGTAGCGTGTCAGAAGGAGTAGTATCTACAATTTTTGTTCTTTGCATATTTCTGTATTTCTAATACTAACGATTCTACAACAGTTAAATGAAAAATCACTAAATCTGTTTTTCGCTCATATCTAGTGAACTGCGGATTTTTTTCAAATAACAAAAGCATATCTTAAATAAGCTCTTAAAACGACAACTCTTTCCTCATTTAACCGAATCCGTATGCTTATGGTTTCCGAGATCCCAATGCTTAAAATGAAAAAAAAACTCACCCTGTAATTTGAAAATTAGATCAGAAACTGTTCTAGGTACCTAGTTTTTTGACTTTGTGGTGCCATGATAACGTTCTGTAATGTTGACTACAGCATAGAAAGTGTTTAGTGTGAGCGTAGGGCGACGAAGTGTCACCGTTACGCCACTGACTTGAGTATACATTACATAAGTTTATTTACCGTTTGTAGGATTGACAGTGACAACCCGACGATAAAAATCATTGCCAATAATTGTAAACATACATAAAACATAAAAATATGGATATTTGGGTAAAATGCTTTGTTTTTCAATTCTTTAGATCGTTCACATTTTGAATTTTGGCGCGCATTGATAGAGACTTCCGGATTGTACTTTTAGCATTTTCATTTTCTACAGTATTATTGAATAATTTATTATTCAATGATAGTACGTGTAAAATAAAATAAGAAAAGGGAATTAAAATTATAAGGAGGAATTTAAGATTAATGTCATGGCATGTACACGAGATTTAAACTTAAAAGTATCCAACGGTTTTCATGATGGCGTACTTCCGACATATATAAGTGGCAGTTGTGCTATGGAAAAGGCCATTCCTATTTCGTTGTTTGTAGTGCTGTGTTTATGTGAGGTTGTGTTTCCTTCTTTGGACTCGCAACCCACCCTCATTCGTGATATTAGCGAATAAGAATAAAAAATATTAAAAACCCAAAAAAATCGTAAAAACAGTGGAAAACCGCAACATATATTTAATTCATTTCCTCTGCTTTATTTAATAATTCAGAATGAATCCTGGAGCTCCAAATTACCCGATGGCGTCCCTATATGTAGGGGATCTACACCCCGATATTACAGAAGCTTTGCTGTTTGAGAAATTTTCTACGGCTGGACCAGTGTTATCAATCCGAGTGTGTCGAGACATGATCACTCGTAGGTCTCTCGGATATGCCTACGTAAACTTTCAACAGCCAGCCGATGGTAAGCATTTATTACTATTTAAAACGAAAGTTGATTGCTTGGTTTTACAGCCGAACGTGCTCTAGACACCATGAATTTTGACTTAATAAAGGGCCGACCAATTCGTATTATGTGGTCTCAACGTGACCCTTCACTTCGAAAATCCGGAGTCGGCAATGTTTTCATAAAAAATTTGGACAAGAGTATCGACAACAAGGCCATGTACGATACTTTTTCTGCGTTTGGCAACATTTTAAGTTGCAAAGTTGCTCAAGATGAAACTGGTGCCAGTAAAGGATACGGGTTCGTCCATTTCGAAACCGAGGAGGCGGCAAATAAATCCATCGAAAAAGTCAACGGTATGTTGCTAAATGGAAAGAAAGTATATGTGGGACGGTTCATTCCGCGTAAGGAACGTGAAAAGGAATTGGGCGAAAAGGCGAAATTATTTACTAACGTTTATGTGAAAAACTTCGGTGAAGAGTTATCCGAGGAGCAGCTGAGACAAATGTTTGAGAAGTTTGGAGGAATTACGAGCTTAAAAATTATGAGTAAAGACGATGGGAAATCACGTGGATTTGGATTTGTTGCGTTCGAATGTTCGGATTGTGCCGAAGCGGCAGTAGACGAACTGAATGGTATGTATTTTTTTGTTAATTTGAATTCATTTGATAGACCTAATGAATTTTGTGTATAAAAAACTCATTTTTAAGAAATAGCGCATTGTTATAATTTGCGTGATGGGAGCAATATTTTATAACAATTGAATAGAGTATCTTTCATTCTTTTCAATACAGGGGTTGACATGTTTGGTTTTTTACGTTGTGGTAAATTTGCCCGAAGTAGTGGTAAGTCGATCCTGCCGGATTCGGTGCAATGGAACGATTCAAATTGAATCCTTATCGTTATCTGTTCTCAATAGGAGCGAGTAACAAAATTACGATCGCATATTAGTTGTTACGTTTACATATACAACTAATGCAGTTTTTGATAGGGTTGGCAAGAGTTGGCATTGTTTAAAACATCCGTATTTTAAACAAGGAAACCGTTTTAAATGGGTGTTTTTTTGTTACCCTTAAAAAGTATGTGCATTCTTTCATACTGGCATACAACATTGAAATTTAAACCACCAAGGCTCCAACAATGCGCTAAACATCATATCTACTTGCATTGCAAACGACGCGACGTCGCCATGCCAGACGACTGCAGAATAAGGTGTTTTTACGCAATGAAATAAAATACCTAACGTCATCAGTTCTTTTTATTTTCTTTAATTCTGGAGTGGCATATGACAAATCATAGATTAAAAAAACAATCAATACACACGGCTTATGAGTACTAGTGCAGCTCATAATTTGGACGACTTTTGCCCATTTACTGCGAAGCACTAGTCAATTATCACACACGAACTTCGGTTGGATTTAAATCGTAAGTCTGATAATGAGTTTTGCATTCTTTTATCGTTTCATATTTTCAGGATTGCTTTCCATAGTTCGCAGGATAATCGGTTGATACTAGGGAATGCAATCCCGATCTCATGTCATTATAGAGCCGCTCACAACAAAAGAGAAGAATGCTATATGAGGGGGAGGGAATAAGGGGTAGCTTAGAATAAAACATTTCCAGTGGTGTTTTGTCTTTTTTTCTTTTAATGAAATGCATAAAAGCGGAAACGATACAAATTCAAAAACTACCAGGATATGTTACATCATAGTACGTAAATGAAAGGAAAGCTTGGGAATAGGGTTGCCATCTGAAAACTCTACCAACTAGGATAGGAAGCGTGAAAACCCCGGATTTAGGGATTATAAACCCGGACATATCAACTGAAATTGATAAAAAATATTTTCTAAAGAAATAAAACAAGCAATAAATTTTTCTAAATAAAACAAGGCGTACTCTCACGAAACAAAATCTTTAACTGTTAGGAATTGGCAACAGCTTATCTACATTTTTAAATTCTTTAAAGGAAGCAATAATACACTTTTTTAACAAAATAAATTGCAAGTTATAAGAAGGTAATAAGAATAATTTTTAAATGAAACAAAAATTTGGTCTTTTAGTAAAATAAAATGTTTAGGGAACTATTCACTTTTCAGGTCTTCGGTATTTATGCGTCTTTCCAATAGCGTTTAGAATATCTTCCTTACTTAAAAGAAATTTATAAAAATCTACACAATAGTCAGTCTTCAATTTGTATTCGGTGTGCAACTTTGTGAAGCAATATCATGCTATACATCAAAATTGTCGTAAAAATGTGTAGATCACGAATATCGATGGGGCGTACCTCTCAGGGCTGGCCGAAAGGAGAAAACAACCCCTATACAAAAATACATATTACGATAAAAAAAATAGCTAAAAATATTTTCCAAAATGTATGTATTTGCTTGAATCTATATGGAGCAAATCTGTAAGGGGTACCGGAAGGGAGAAAACTACCCTTAAACAACTTTAAACAGCCCCTATATAAAAATAATGACGAAAAATAGCTGAAACTATTTTCTAAAATGTATTTGTCTGCTAGATTGTCTATAAGGAGTACCAATAAGGGGTGGCTGAAGAGAGAAAGAAGAAAGGGATGGACAAAAGAAGAAAAGAATGTTTTATATTTATATTATATTTGCATAGTTTTAACGAAACAGAGTTGGTATTTACAGCTTTTTTATTCTAAAAATGGATTTATTACTCCTTTTTGAAATCGCTATCCAGTGCATCGTCAGAATTAGTAGTTTTTCATCTATTTCAATGTTTGAACAAAATTCGGGATCAGCCTCACATTCGCACATTTTCGTACAACGCATTTTTTTTGGGTTAAACATTTGCACCTTATTTTTTTTACAAGAACATTTTAAAACCTTTAGTATTTCTTCGAGTGCCCAAGGAAGAGTATACATAATGGATTCAAATTTTTCGTTGTCCAATTTTCAACCGTATTCCGTTGGTGGCGGTAAATTCGGCTGAGCATTGAGTAATTAAATATTCACTCAACGGGCTGAGTCTGTGTATCTCGATTCCATTCAATACATTAGTAGTGACATCTTTGTATTGCCGATTTTAATGCTGCTTGAGTTGGAGGCATTGTATCAGTGGAAACTTGCCTCTGTGCAAGCAACCACCATCTTAGTTCTGCTAGACTTTTAAAACATGTTTTTGATGCTGAATATAAAGAACAGACAAAACCCTCGATCTGCTCAAAATCAGAGTCACTAAGTGTTTGGTTTTTACCTAAAGAATCCAATACCTGAAGTGTAGATGGAGTTTCTTCTAAGAACTTTTTCCAAAAACTAATTTTAATTTTTTTAATGAAATTTGTTTAATGTTTTTAAACAATTTTATTTGCAATATGTTAATATTGTAACCTTTTGTTAAAGTCATAAATATAATATTTTGATATTTACTATAAGTAGCAAAAAAAAATTTTTCTTTGCCCTTAAAACCCCCTGCTACATCTGATCCTGAATGGGCATGAAGACCTGGAAGTGCTTCAGCTTTGAGTGGTCCAAGAGCCTCCTAAAGTAGTTGTAAAGGCATTTCACAACTGCTAGAACCACTACATATAAACATGGTGTTTTTAGGTAATAATGGAGCTCGTCTTACAGCCGCCAATAACAAAACATCTGTATCTGGCGAAAGAATTCTTACTGTCTTTGCACCCCTTTCAGATGCATATAAAGAATGAAGAATCATTCTGATATCGACTTCTTCGTGTGAAAGCTTTAAGTGGTTCATATCGCCTCACATCACAGTACAAAGCACCGTATTTTAATAAGAACAAAGGATCTTTTTATCACATATTTCCTAAAGCAATAACATTTTTGGAAAAATACTCAGTTAATATCGTCTTTAATGAAGGTGTGAGAACAAAAGCTTTTTAATGGTTATATTTTATATCGGTTTTTCGTCAACATTGAATCGTATAGGGTCTGTACCATTTTGCCTTCTGGTTCTTTCCGATGACTTAACTGAGCCCATAACATAATTATTAAGAATAACGTGTATTTCTGAATATGAAGCATATTTTTAACAGTTTATTTGAAAAATGCTCAGATTTCAAGCACTCCCACACTTTTATGAAAAATCCCCTTATTAATGGGATGCAAGTTATATAACTTGCTTCCGAAAGATATATGTAGATATGAAATAAAACCATTCAAAAAAATAATTAAAGATATTTTACATCAAAACTCCTAGTATTCGATTACGGAATTCATTCACAAGAACTTACCTTGATCTTCTAGCAAGCCATTATTTGACAATACAATATCAAAACATACTTCGCGTACCTATGTAGACTGTGATAATATCCAACTCACATGTTATTGCTATTTATGGTGTTTGTTATTGTTACTGACGTGTCCAATACATTTTTATATGTCCACAGGAAATAAAGATTATTATTATTATTATATTGTACTTCCACCATACCATCAATAACTGCAATGCTGAAACCATTATTTACAAAAGGCGAAGTAAACAGATTGTTCCAGAAAATGCCCACCTATTTTCGAACGCGCTACGGGTAATTTTTTATATATTTAACCTATTAGGTGTTTATTATGGATCTACAAACAATTTTCTAATCCTTAGGTAAAGGGGGTTGCAACCCCTATCTTATACTTCTTAATAGTATAAGTACTATGTTAATTACAGAATATAAACAAAATTAACATTAACATCAAACTTGACGTAAAATTATATTTAAGTAAAATTATACCTACACTATTAAAAATTACCTACAACCCCTCAAGTAGTGACTGATGGGTCTTCCTAATATTAATTTTTTAGTAAAACACAGTATTTTTTATTATCTTAAGTAAGCATTAGCATTGAATAAGTACCTTAAAGAAGTATAACGCCCGTGTTATCTGATGAAATAAGAAAATCTGCCCAGGATTCTGTCGTCCCTCTGTTGTGGGGGAAAGTGAACCACAAATTTAAAGCTAGTTACCGACTTTGCAGATTTCTTTACTTCTTTAAAATTCCAACGTTGCCAGATTTTTGGCAATCGCTTTGAGTTTGAATAAACTAGATTAAAATATTGAATAAGCTTTTATTCAATGCCAATAACAATATTATGTAAGGGAGGATCAATCTGAAATGTAAGATCATAAGGAACAATAAATACAGTAAAAAATGTAGTTTAATCTAATAAGAAAACAACAAGAACTGTTCTAAGGACCATTATCTTTACATAATAAACAATCAAACTTTACTTAGGTCCATATAAGGATCTGGTAAATATGACAACACTGTTCAACTCTGATAAACAAGGAAAACAAAAGACCCCTAAGTATAACTGGTTTCCCTGTTTAAAATAGTCATTATTTACCGCTCGAGGCCAAATATCTTTCAATATTTGTGGTAATTAACCACTTTGCAGTGTATGCAACACACCTTACACCAATTTCAGGTTTTCCTATGTAGTTATACTTCTTTAAAGTGCTTATTCAATGGCATTAGTCAATTTAACCAAAAAATGCAATTATTTAATAATATATTTAAAAGGACGCTATAAGGGTAGTTTTCACCCCTCTGTGACCTTTGCGAGATGCGCCCCATAGAAATTCGTATTCTACGCATTTTTCCGAGTATTTTGATGTATTCAATAATGTTGCTTCACTTATTTGCACACGGGACCTAATATTTGTACAATTCAACACTGACTAACAATTATATTCTTTGAAATTGTACTTTATTTTTATTACTGACGAGACTGTGTTGAGATATTTGAAAATGCCTGCTTTCCTTAATACGAAGCCGTACACGGGCCACATATACACTTGGTGTTCTTCTTCTACAAAAAAGTGAAAATTTCGCCAAAAAAGTGAACATTTCTACAAAAAAGTGGAAATTCCCATAAAAAAGTGGAAATTTCGACAAAAATATTTGATGGCCTTTAAAATGATGGGTCACTCGATGGGGCGGCGGGGGAAGGTCAAATTTCTGCTTTGTTGTCGCCGCTTTCACTTTTTTTCGAAATTTTCACTTTTTTGTCGAAATTTCCACTTTTTTGTTGAAATTTCTACTTTTTTGTGGGAATTTCCACTTTTTTGTAGAAATTTTCACTTTTTTGTGAAAATTTCCACTTTTTTGTCGAAGTTTCCACTTTTTTTGTCGAAATTTCCACTTATTTTTGGAATAAGAACACCAAGTGTGTGTATGGCCCGTGTACGGCTTCGTACCTTAACGCCTTGATTTAGTTTTAATTATTGTAAAATTAGGTAGTAATGAAAAAGTAGGGAGTTGTTTTTCGTTGCCACGAATAGTTAGTTGTAGTAACACAAAAATCGCTGATTGAATCTGTTTCATTTTGGTCATTACTTTTTCCATATTTTTGCTCACTTGTGTTCATTAAAGTGTTTTCTACTTTCTTAAAAGAACTCCAAGACTGTTTCAATATTCAATAAATTCCTTTATTTTGTCCCCTGTTGTGCCACTAGTGAAAATATTCTTTCAGCGTTGTCAAAAAAAGTAGTACGCAATTTTCAATAACTCCTAGTACCTATAAATGAGCATTCGGTGTTTTAAAAAATTGTTACCAAAGCTGATTTGCGCTTGAAATGTTGACAGAAAGATTTTTAATTCACCCACTCAGTACCTCAAATCCGGACTACCATTGAAAACTCGACCGGACGCCCCCTAAACTACGACAAATCCGGACGGATGGCAACCCTACTTGGGAACCTCGGATGAACTAAATTAGCAGGAGGGTTGTAATAATAAAACAAATTTTAAGCGAAATTGTCCCTTATGCAAAGGTCCGGTCATTCCGGTTTATTTAAAAAGAAGTATTATAATTTCCCAACGTAAAGCAACTATGAAATTAAGCAAACGTGAAGGCGGTTAAGCCCATATGGGAGGCTGAACAAACAGAGTATAGCCACTAACGAGCAAAATTGCAGGTGTAACTTTAAGCTTCGTTAGCACTCTAAACATTAGCGGTGCATAGCAGTTATGTTATTTAACCAGGTTTAAACTCTAATCCAGTTTAAAAACGCTACGGTGCATACGGCCATAAGTCAAATAAGTATAATAAAGAGCACATCATTTTTAAAAATTGAATGGCCAGGTAGAAATTAATTGGATCTGAATCTCTTAAGACACTATTGGTATTAAACAATGCGCTTACATACATTACACTAATGGTCTTTAAACTTTGGCACTAACGTTTACTTCTGTAAATAGTGTTTAGAGATTGTGATTAAAATGTACACACCAGTGTTTACTTAAAATGTCAAACTGTCTCTATTATCATTTACATTTAAAAACGATCAATCGTGATTTTTCATGTGCTATAAAAATTAGAAAATAAAAACCGTTACACGTTTTAGGCAAAGAAATTCTGGAAGGTAAGCCAATGTACGTCGGGCGCGCCCAAAAGAAGGCCGAGCGCCAACAGGAGCTTAAGCGGCGATTTGAGCAGCTGAAAATGGAACGCATGAATCGTTACCAGGGTGTCAATTTATACGTTAAGAATTTAGATGATTCCATTGACGACGAACGTTTGCGTAAAGAGTTCACGCCGTTCGGAACTATTACCTCTGCGAAGGTAAGAGGATTGGTAACACTTATAATGTCTCACCGTTTTTGTATTACTTAGGTTATGTTAGAAGAAGGTCGTAGCAAAGGATTTGGTTTTGTCTGCTTTTCATCACCCGAGGAAGCGACCAAAGCTGTAACGGAAATGAACGGTCGTATTGTAGGGACCAAGCCATTATACGTCGCCCTAGCGCAGCGCAAAGAAGACAGAAAGGCGCATTTAACTTCACAATATATGCAACGAATGGCCAATATGCGCATGCACCATCAAATGGGCCAATTTATTCAACCGGGCAGTACAGGAGGATACTTCGTGCCGACGCTACCTCAACCACAGCGATTCTATGCAGCTTCACAGATGGCGCCTATTCGCACCACACCCCGCTGGCCGGCACAGACACCCGTTCGTCCAGGCGCCCAAGCGGGTACTAACGCCTACGCAACAGGCATGCAAAATTCATACCGCTCCGCACCACGTCCGCCAAGTCAAACAACTTCTTTGCGAAGCAACATGACCGTATCTCGACCGATTACGGGACAGCAGCCACCCAACATACAAGGACGTCCGCTAGCAACTCCTGGCATTGTCGGTGGAAGTAGCCGACCTTCCAATTACAAATACACGGCAAACATGCGAAACCCTCCCCAGGGCTTGGGTAACGCACCAGTACAGCAAGCCGTTCACATTCAAGGCCAAGAGCCTTTGACCTCATCAATGTTAGCATCGGCACCACCTCAGGAACAGAAGCAAATGTTAGGAGAAAGATTATTCCCACTCATTCAGAGAATGTATCCAGATCTTGCCGGAAAAATTACGGGAATGCTTTTAGAAATTGACAACTCCGAACTTCTACACATGTTGGAGCATAACGAATCATTGAAGGCAAAAGTGGAAGAGGCGGTCGCCGTGCTTCAGGCGCATCAAGCCAAGCAAGCCGCCGCTCAGATTAACAAGAAAGAATAACTCATTGTTTGACACAAAAAAATGGCAAAATGAAAAATCGAAACTATTCGACATTCACTACGAAATTTATTGTTTTTATTTTAGCGACAATAACATGGATGTCAAATGGCAAAAAAAATACTTCCGCGAATTAAAGTGGTTTTCGATTTTACATCCATACGCAGTACTAATTAACATCTATTGGAGATTGCTTTAATTCGATGACGCGAATTTCTTACCTCTTTTACTGATTACGGCAGTAATATTCCTTAAGGATTTATCGTTTTATTTCATCCCGATAAGAATTTGGTGAAATAAGTTGTTTGTAAATTAGTACTGTTTTCTCATTGTTACCATTACTTAAGTTCTTTTGTACCTATTTCTAAGATGTATTTGTTCGGTATTATTTACTGTTTTACCATTGTAGATTGTAGTGACTCAATAAATTCTTTAACAATAACCATGTGCCAACTGTAATTTGTTAAATATTTTACCTTTGCCACTTGCAAGTCACCTTAATAATAAATTTAAAATCTAAATGCAAATTGACTATTGCATTTGATGCCACATTAAACAGGAGAAATGATCATTTGTTGATAAGTTACCGCAGTCGCGAGTCATCCCTAAGGGTTTGTATGGTTTACAGCTAGATCCCTAAAGTTAGAGGAGGGATGGGCATGTGTATGTATGCTTGGTATTAGGAGAGTCTAATACAGTAGACTTGATCTGGATACCAACGCACTACAAAAGAAAGGGGGACGAATTGACTAGCGAAGGCAGTAGGGGGGTCTGCATCGGGCCCGAGTTCGCTCTCTCCGTTAAGGCCAGGATTAAAGGCTTGTGAATTGACTTGATTTGTTATTTCCGACAGTTGCCCTGAGATAACCAAAAGTGGAGCAATTTGATTCACCGTTTACCAGTGTCAAATGCAGCAACAGAAAAAAAAATTGTACATCCGGCAACATTTCTTGCCAACAAAATATTTATTTATAAACAACATTTTTGCAAAAAAAATAAAAATACAAAATTTTCTATACGTTAAACAAATTACAATGGTCAACTAATGCTATTAACAGCCTTCATAGCAGCATCATCAAGATTGGAAGCAGTCTGAATCGGTAATCCGGAATTATTGATTATTTTTCTCGCTTCATTCACGTTTGTACCTTCCAACCGGACAATAAGTGGAATTGTAAGTTTACTCGATTTGCAGGACTGAACGATTCCATTGGCGATAGTGGCGCAATTGACTATACCGCCAAAGACATTCACCAAAATTGCACGAACATTTTTATCTTTTGTTAAAATTTGAAATGCGGCGGAAACTTGCTTTTCGTTCACTCCTCCTCCGACGTCGAGAAAGTTGGCAGGTTCACCACCGTTAAGTTTTATTATGTCCATTGTTGCCATAGCCAGACCAGCGCCATTTACCAAACAACTGAAACAATGGTTATAACTAAACAGGCCTCGGCAGGAAAAATTGAATTCTTCAAAAATAGATAGATGGCACCTTATGGAATTTGATGAATTTTTGAGTTCTACCTGTATTTTGACAAAGAATATCAGAATAGTTGTTTATTGGCCAATTTCTAGTAGAAATAAGTCCATTCCCAATATAGTGGGCCGTACACTTTTTTTGGGTACCCAATAATTTGTTCATCGTTATTTATAAATCGATTTTGTGGGAAAAACAACCAAAAGTGTTTACAATTTTATCAAGGGAAAAGGTAAAGTACCTTTCTCTCCTGAAGAGGACTAAACAAAATGTATGTTATGGAAATTGTCTGACCATTTTATTCTTTACACTACGGTAGTACTCTGCGGATAGAGTCAACTTTAGTCCGCTCTACATTTTTGTAGGATGTTTTTGATAGTAAATTTAAATGATTTATTGTCATTCCATGCGCAATAGATAGATAGATTACCCTTCATCGAACTGTTGCTACTTACCCTATATTTCCATGCATGCCAATGTAGTTAAGATTATATTTGGAAGCTTCCACTTCTCGTGGATCCTCTTCTGAAAGGTCACCCATTGTGAAAACCCTTTCCTGTCTAAACTTTGCGTTATCATCGAAGTTTAATTTTGCATCGACCGCTATAACTGCCCTGTCAGTTTCCGCGAAAGGATTTATTTCTAGTTGTGTGGCATCGACGACTAAAAATAATTTCCACAATTTTTTTATTTCCTCAATCGCTTTATCTCGGAAATTGCCTTTAAACTCTAAAAAGTCCGCTATATCTGCCGCTTTCGCATCAGTTATTCCTAAAAAAACGTGTTGTAGTATTACAAACAATTGTACCCACCGATACCTTCCACAATATCAACCGGAACTGTTTTGATTAAATGTGGTGTCTGTTCTGCCACAGTTTCTATGTCGACCCCACCAGCTGGTGATGCGATCACCACAGGACCATTTTTTTGCCGGTCCATAATAATAGAAAGATACGTTTCACGTACTATGTTGACACTATTTGCGATCATCACCTTTGTTACGGCAATACCATCCTTCGGAGTTTGTTTCGTTATTAATCTGTGACCTAACATTTTATTAACGATATTTTCGATCTCACCTCGGCTAGAAACGTTTGCGTAAATCATAGAAAATGAAAGTAACAGTCACAGTCTTACTTTTTTGTAATGTGGACACCACCTTTGAAGCCATTATCGAAACTCCCTTTTCCACGACCTCCCGCAAGTATTTGAGCTTTTATTACATACTCCTCCGCATCTACAGAGGTACGTAATATTAGTACACAATATAAGTAGGGAATCTGAGCTTACTGAACGCATTAAGGCCATTGTTTCCCTCTGTATCTATTATACAAAAATCTTGAATCGCCACGCCACTCTGCTTCAATAAGTGTTTGCTTTGATATTCTAAAAGGTTTAAGTATCGCACAGGTACCTAAATAACTAATTACTTCTTTGTTACTAATAATTTGATTACCTTAAAAATAGTTCTGGGTAGTTTCGTCCACAAGGAAGTCATTATAATACTTAAGGGGATTAGGGAAGGAAAAAATTAAGTGTTAAAAAAAGAACAAAGTACAATTGCCAATAACCTAAAAACTTTTAAACTGTCTACTTACCACAGAAACAGTATACCCACGTGACTCCGTGAAAAGAACATCTGTCCATAGACGTGTGACTTGTGAGAAATGTCCACGATTTGAAAATACCACCACTGTATGTACATACAAGGTGTCCCACGACCAACGCCGGCTTTCTATATTATATATTTTCTGTTGGACGTTAAATATATTATTAATATTATTATTATTGAATATTATCATTTAATAATATTATTAAATGGTAATATCCACAGGCGAGACTTGATGTATTGTGAGCTGCCTATCATCAAAACATAATTTTTCGGGCTCTGTAGGTAAACTTTTTTCAAGATAAGTATGGCACTCTAACAGCCGCCGACGGTTCACCTAAAAAACAACTTAATAAACCCCGGTGTTATTAACTATCTAAAACATGCACCTTGCACAAGAGTATTCCCCTTCTGCATCTTCACTCAGAATTCAGATATCGTGAAACAAAATCAATCGTTTTCGGACGCAATGGACTAGGTGTGTCGTCCAGCCTTAAGGCAGTGAGGATAAAGTTCAGTACCATAAGGGATAACGCTAGAGGGTACAATAGACCCCAAGGCCGCAGGACAAGAAGCAAAGTAGGATACCACTTTTAATATAGAAAGAATAAAAATCAGCTTAAATTTTTCTTATCCACCAATTTTCAGCTTATCACCTTGGATGTCCAGGTCTGAACCCTATAGGACAATACTTTAAAATTTGGAACGATTGTATATGTTGTCTACTCCAAAAGTTTCATGTATATTTTTTTAATCCATTTTAAAATTTCGATTTTATGTCAACAACTTATCAACTTTAATGTGTTTAAATACTGTAATAAAAATTACTAAACATAGGCATTAGAGAAGTGTTGTGGAATGTAAACCTCATGGATAAGAAAACAGAATAGAATTACATATTTAGTTATTTATTTGTAAAGAAAATTCACAGGGATCTAAAAACATCACATTCTAAAATGGGAAACTTCTACCCAAATTTAAAAAAATTAACGTACATAACACTATTTACATGCCATACAAAAATAAATCCTCTCATTTACAAATCCTAATTATTCAAGTAACTCGAATAAGGCTTGTAAATATTTCTGCGCCGTAATTCTTCGCGACCTTTCATCCATTTAAAATACCACTTATTTTTAACCCTTTTAGCAATATAAATCCCAGCTTTATTGGTTTGCTTCCTAGAGTGCTGTCTAGCTTTATGCATGTTGGTATACCATTCTCCACTTTGTTCAACCCCTTTTACTTTGCTACTTTTGGTTTCTTTAATTGTTTTGAAGATTTTAGATTTGGGAGGTTTCTCAAATGTAGTTACTTTCAAAGGCACATCTCTAGACTTACGTTTATGTCTTGTTGAAATTTCCGCGCTTTCTTGTTTATTTTTATTTATCTTGTCTGGAGTGTGCATGTCAAATTTGTTTTCAGCTAGCTTTTCTATTTTATTTTGGAGTAGTGGAGTAACCTAAAATAATTTCTGTTAGTACCTTAGAAAATACCTTTATTTTATAAGACCTCATCATTAATCTTCCTCTGATCAATGGGATTTAGCGGAACTGTGTTTCCATACCTGTCTCTTACGCATTGCTTAATTTGTTTGTTTTTAATAAGAACTTTGCTTTCCTTGCCGCTGTAAGTACACGCAATAGTAATGTCTACAATTTCATCTAAGTTGACAGAGCTTTTGCATGGCAAATCGGAATAATCACTTTTGTCAACATTAGTGGCAATAAAATCAGTGACATCTGGGACTGTAACCTTCTTGAAAGAGTAGGAACCCAAGAAGACAGCCGTAAGTACAACGCCCACTCCTACGATATTGCTACTGGTCAAAAACCTCTTTGCCTGACTTAGCAATGTCGAGTCAACTTTTTTAATGGTTGAAATATCGCTGTAAAGTGTTTCGCATTGGTCTTTCAGTTCACTGGTATTCTCACAGGTTCTACTTTCGTATTCTCCACTAGTTGCATCACTTTCACTAATGATACTCACTCCGTCTGATTCGGTTTCAAAATCAGACCCGGCTGATGCGAAATCTTGTTCAGTTAATTCTTGAATGGGTTCTCGTGAGCAATCTAAATGAAAAGCATTTGCGTTATTGTCAACTAGCGGCGCGTCATCTGGTACAAAGACCCATGAAGTCGATGAATTTGAATCGGAATCGCTTGATTCTGATCTTTCCATTTTTTTTGTGGCAATTGCGAAATTAATCCGTTGTGTCCATAAGGTACTGTTAAAGCAGGTCACTGGTTAATGAAAATTGTAAGAATAGAGTAACTTACCGTTACTGCATTGCACGCAGTATGTATACAAACAAAACGCTTTGTCTGTGCGAACATATTTTTAAATGTAGGTCCTAATAATAACAAACATTATTTTAGGTTACCTCTCTTTAATGACATTTCAACTTTCCAACTGTTGGTTAATGCGCTGTTGCCAAACTTTAGTTTTTATACAAATCCTAAAGAGGACAGGGCTGTATTCAGGAAATATTGAGAAACATTGTTATCAATCACTTTCACGTAATAGGCAGTACGCTGCAATGTTACATCAAACGCCACAATTTACAGTTATATATCGTTTAAATGAACTTCCTACCGAATTCATTTTAAATAACTAGTACTCTTTTGCGCAAAAGTCTGCTCAGATTACGGTACCTAAAATTAACGTTTAGTATATCAATCCAATACACTGATTAATAATATACCTACCACACCCCTTCTTTTAGACTCAGACTACCTAGATGATGATACGTTGTGCGTTGTCAGATTTTAAATTAAAATTTTAGTTATAGTCGTCAACTATTTCTGTTATTTGCAAATTTCGTTAAATTACTACAATTAATGTCCATGGAGTTCTAACATTAAAATATAAATGTATAACATCAAAGAGACAAGCAAAAAGGAATAATAATTCTTTTAGTTAAATTTAGTATAATGTACGTTAGCTGCTCACACACTTGGGCAAACTTAATAACAAATAATTGACTTTTTCGTAATGGTGAAATTTTAAGTAATATAATTAGTTTACAGGGCACATAATTTCGCAAAGAAAAACGACCATTAACAAAAACTGGTTCATATTCAAATGCAGAAGGCGTTGTTGCAACGCATTAAATCCAAGTAGGTATTACGCCCAATTATAAATTACTAAAATTTAAGACCCAAACATTAATTAATGGTAAGGATCTGTTCGAACTAAATGACGCTAAACGGCTCAACGATGCATTTTCAGCCGAATAACATCGAGCTGGACGACTCAAAACTGTGAGTAGAAACTTGTCAGTCGATAGTCAAAAAGGCTTGAATAGCGTTTGTGCACTGAGAAGGAATCATTTGAAGGAAGTAAGTGAGTAAGTAATTGCGAATAGTAGTGCGACAACATTAAATGAGATCGCGCATCGCAGATAAATAGATTATAGGTACTAAGTGCTAAACTAAGTGCACCAATAATTAGTAACTGAATTTCACCATAAATTGGAAAATTCATCCAAAGAAGCAGCACCACATTGTTCATTGAGTAAAGTTAGGGGTTAGGTTTTTGTCTCTGTAGAGTAACTGTAAGAATTTGTTTGATTTCAGAATGTATTCAGTTTGAAAGATTTTCTTGGAATTTTATCACATTTATAAGGTTTAGTTAAAAAGTTGAGTAATTTCTTCAAATACGCTCGAGTATTATAAGTTTCTGAAGAATTTACAAATACATTTCTATAACTTGAGTTAATCTTTTTCCAGATTATAAATTCCTAATTAATACGTAACTGAAAGAACAGTTTACTGAATTCTTTCCTATGCTTACCCTCTTAATCTGAGCTAGCCTATAAGTAAAAAGTACGAAAGGTAGATCCAAACATACTAGGCACAAAAGAGAAAAACAAGAAATTTAGTCTTTATCAACAATTGTATCTTCGTTATAAAACTTTTAATAATGCGCAAGACAGTACGAAGTAACAATGTCCCAAATCAGACTTTGTAAGTGCCGATTTCACATGCAGATTTTAACCAAACCCACCTTGTGACAAATTGAACCTACTCTCCATCCTACAATATGAAAACTTACGAACGATACTTAAATCGAAAAAGTATATTGTGAACAGATACACACATAAATGAAGGATGAAATGTATGAAATGTACATTAAAAATCTAATGCCATAATACCTATACCAGTAAAAAGTTGGTTCGTTGAATGGGCACTAAAGCAAGAAACTACGTCAAAAAGATCTTCTTTTAGTGTCACCCTTATGCTGCCTTTGATTAAATTCTAGTAGTACCTAGATCTGTAGGATCTCCAATAGTCTAACTAAAGTGTTTTTTTCATTTGCTAAACAGCATTTCCAGAAGGTCGTATGGTTTGCCTGGTTATGGGTTCGCCCCCCATCGTAACAGAATGACTTACAGAGGACTAACGAAAGGAATTCAAACGTGGAACAATTTCGATCATTTGAAACAGGCTAAACGTCAATTGATTTTCACTTTTTAGCTGACGAAATTGTGCATTAATAATTCGCTCTCTGATTTATTACCAAACAAAGCTTTGGTCAAAAATAAAGTATACGTACGTCATGTTGTTATCATCTGAAGTAGTTCATCTTCATAGAGCATTTAAATTATCTAGGGATTTTAGAAATCCACGGTGAGAATAAGGCACGGCACAGTGGGGTGGAATTCGCAGGAAGATTATTTGGTGGACGCCTGGAAAATTAAAAATCGTTTATCTCAAGGAATCCCTGAGCATTTCGGAGGATTTTAAGGGATCTATATTTATAGAGAGTCGAAGAATCAGTCAACGGTTTTATTAAATAAGTATTTTAATTTTGAAGGGATATAAAGGGGGTAGCAAATTTATAGTTTTCTGCACATTGATTTAAAATTACGCAAAACTAAAACAAAATGAAATTAAATTAGCTATCGATATAAAGCAAGAAACTCCTAGTACTATACAGTTTTCCATAGTTGACTCGTCGTAGTTAAAATCCTTGATTCAAAGATTATCACACATTCTATGAAGAAGTTGTATTCCTGAACTGGGCCTGGAGTCTTCCAATTTGGGAAGAATTTCACTCTACTTTGGATCATCGTAGGCGTTACCTGTTCGATAAGGTCTCCATATACCTCGCGTTTGTTAATATAGTGTAAAGAGTCATGAGTGAAGCAGGCACCACAAAATCTAACGTAAATTATCTGCCTTCGCCCTGACCGAGCTAAAGGTATCTTTTGAATCGTTACAACGGGCTTGTTTGTTTATACTTCTCCCAATTGGTAATTTTACCAATAGGAATTCGATACTTCACTTCATGGACTTCCACTTCAGTGTGTTATTCATTCACCCCTTTCGATATAACGGACCAAGCAAGAGGTGCGAAGGTTTAGTTCCATTCATCAGTGAATGTACCTATGTTATACATTTTAATCTTAAGATAAATGAAATCAAAATAATGATCTCGCACTTTCAGGAAAGGTTCACCAAAATAGATTTGCATAAGCAAAAGTACATTTTCCGTATTTACTTCGCACATCATCATTTGGACTATTGCCACTATTGTTGTCTGTTATATTACCTTACCTTACGTACGATTTCACTATAAATAAAATTTACGCAAAAGTATTTTAAATCTTCAAGCACCTTTATACGTGCATCCGAAAACCGTTGACTCAATCCGTGAGCCACAACGAGGAATATCTCAGGACTAAATCAAATCTCACCGCATTTTGTAGTCTTACTTTCCATTTTACAAAAAAAATGTCAGCGGCGTCTGATATTTTATTTGAAGACTGGCGTAAATTAATGAAAATCCCAGTCTAACGATGTACGGTTTGAAATATACACCCCCATGACCATAATCACGTTTTTGGAGCATGGCTGATGGTAATAGATATAAGGTTTAATGATTAATTAGGAATTAATTGCACTTTTAAAATGATGTAGGTATATCGCACTGTTACATTGTAAAATGCTCTAACTCCAACTCTGGGGCTTGTTTACTCATTAGAAAACCAAATTTGATAAACGGTCACGGCTACCTATAATGTGTGTACTTTATCTGGAATTTGTTTCTCTATTAAGCATATAATGATTCAGTTTTTAACTTGTAACAATAAAGATTGGAGATTATGAGGAACACGTAAATACGCAAACAAGGTTTATTCCTTAGTACCTATATCTGTTTAAAATGTTTTTGCAATTGTATAAATGAATATTTGGTAGACTGATCCAATGGTCTGCCTAGCTACTTAGGAAAAAGGGATTTACGCTCAAAAGTATTAGTACAAATATAATTTTTAATTTGCAGGGCCACTAAGATTTGTTGTTTATAGGATCACTACCAGAACAACTCTGTTCTTGTAAGTAGCTACTGCAGAAATTCATCTCATAGGCTTAATAATACCACAGATTTAAATATACTATTAAATCTGTGATAATACTGCAATTTCCACTGTGAATATAGCAATTCTTACTCAATGTGACGTACTACCACTTAATTGGTTTACTGAACTTGATTTTATTTATTTGTCTTCCCATTTAACACCCAAAACAGGGGTGAGTTGTTATCCTTACACATGTAAAGATTGTAAAATGTGAAAGGAAGGTGAAAAGTTCTCTTTTCTGGTTTTTCACTTTATATCTGAAAAACTAGGTGCCTCAGGAGTTAAGCAATTGTGAACCATGAGGACGTATCCTCGGAAACGGTTCAGAGCTCGTAGGTGCACGAAAACGACAATTGTGGGGAATTTACGCCCCTCCGTTTTCTAGATATAAATGAAAGGTCCCTATGTTCCATTAGGCACCTTACATATTTAGAAGTAAAATCTCTACCATCGAGCTACTCTCTGCACGGCGCTCACCATGGATTGTGTGTGAGGAGGAATCGGATTCTGCATTTAAAGCTTCACTGTTATTGTTAAAAAAAATTTTGTTTTGTAGTTAGAGTTGGGCATGAATTAATTCAAAATGGAATTAATTCGTGATTTAATTCTATTAGGTGAATTAAATCCAACGGAATTAAGCCTTTTTTAGTACTGCTATAAAAGGGCTTGTAATTAAATCCATTTACAAAAGGAATTTAATTGTGAATTGTAAAAAAGGCTTAAATCACACGAAAGGCTTAAGCTACCATGTGAAGGCTTAATTCCTTTCAGAGACGGAGACGCTACATGCAGTCCATAATGGGGCCGAGTACTTCAATTTCATAGTCAGGTTCAGGTAGCGTCACTTTACTTACAAGTTTTGTATTAAATTTTACCCGAAATCGTATTTTAATATAAAATTTCAATTTTCATATAGAACTTTTGATTAATTTCAATCTATTAGTGATGACAGGAGTCATAGACATTTAGTAATGTGACACTGACAGGCGCGGCCAGAAAAGTGACATAAGACATGATGAAAATGGTTGGTATACCTCACAATGGGGTAGCTCGATCAGGAATGGTAAGATGGGGAGATTTCGTGTATTTACAACACCGTATTTTAGGTGTTGTTGGTGTTTACCATTCCCAAAGTGACATACCTAACATGTACGACCGGTCAAGTGACAGATGCGGTCGGTAAAGTGACGGGCTATGAAGGAAAAGTAGTCTGGTCTACCTCTGACATGGAAACTCAAAGTTCCCGACAACAACTATAATAGACATGAAAACGAAGGTTTCATGACGATTTTGGGTAAAGATATAAATTGCAGTTTGCGTATTGAAATTATTATGTTACTTGATGATTTCTGCACTTTGCGTGTTTCTCAAGATCACGTAACACGTTACAGTGCATGTCTATAGAACCACAATGACGTTACGAACACGTCGCAAGAAGGCTTGTGAATTAGAATACAATTCCTTTTTGAATTATGAATTAATTCCTTTTGAAAGGAATTGGAATTGTGAATTGTAGTCTGGTGAATTAGGATTTGATTGGTGAATTGCGAATTAATTCCTTTTTTGGTAGGGCTTGCGCAGCTCTGTTAGTATTTGTATACTTGTAAACTTTAGTTTCCATTGATATTTTCGTCGCCCTTGTTTCAAACTATACCACGGGGTGACTTTCAACTCCCAAATGGTAATGGATACCTTTTTTTAAAGGAAATTAAGTTGACTTTTCACTTTAAATTTAGTAGAGCACTTATATTAAACTTTAGAGACCACGTTATTGGGCAGGGGAAATATACTTAATGGACCTACAGACTGAAGACCTGCAAGATTGGTGGCCACCCCTTGTGGGGCAATCACCCATTTTTGCAACCGATCTTAATTTTTTTAAAGATTTCAACACTGCATAGTGTACAATTAGCGCACGGAGAATAGACGTGAATATTTTCCACGATTGATACAAATTTCTCACGTTTAAACGTTGTTTTATTATTAGTCTTGTTTCTCAGGCACTGCTTATAGGATTTCAACAAGTAAGGTCCATTAGAAATGCAAATCAATTGATTTCAAAATGAGGGTTTGTTATGCTTCTACAGAAGCGTACGCAGGATTTTTTTTCGGAAGGGACTGAAGCTCGAGAATTAAGACCAAAGTATGTAAATTTTCACGTATGTCGTACACATTCGCAAGATCAAGTAAGTGAAGGAAAAAGTAAGGTAATTTTTCCAGCAACTGCAACATTTTTATTGTCGCTTGGCATTTAAATAATTATACCATGACTGACGACTTACGGGATGTGCCGCTGAGTAGTTAAGTCGATTATTTCGGAGGGGGCTGTAGCCCCTTCAGCCCCCCCTTTGCGTACGCCGGTGGCTTCTAAGTAGAGTAAGGAAATCTTTTGGTGGATCACCCTGCATTGTCTGGTAGGTACAGCATATGTGATATGCGCTGCTTCCATAATACAATTTCTTTGCTTTAAAATTAGCGAAGATGACGAATGAATATCTTGTAATATGTGGTTTAAATATAGCGAATTTGTAACAGTGGCTTGTTGAATTGATAACCTTATTTATAAATTATATGTACCTATAGTAAAAAATAATAAATTTTGATCTTAATAGTTAGAACGATCCTATCCTATATCATTTAATCTGCTTTCAGCTTGAAAAATGTGCATCGTTTACGGAGAAGCAGCAAATTTCTTCAAGTCTGCACGAATGCTTGGGACTTTATAGGGTGCATTCGGAAATGTAAGGGTTGAAAACTGGAGAAAGGGATACGAAAGTTGGTGGGGCATCGAATATCAAGCTTGATGTGTTTGGCGTCGGGTCTTCCATACATTAACCTTTAAAAATCGTATGTGAACTCGAAATAAAGTTGTTAGAAATTAATTTACTGAAAATGATCTGATGAGGGAAGTGAGTGACAATTAGCGAACAGACTTCTTAGATGATACGTTGTTTAAGTATAGGTAGGACAAAACAAATGCATTTCAATAAATTCAATAAAGGAGAAAGGGAATTTGCATCAGGTTTCTTTAAAGTCCATTAATTTAATCAAAATCTCATCTTTGTATATCCGTGGATCAATGGTTTAGACATTTTACTTTGAAAATGATTATAACATTTTCAAGTAAGAACAGTTCAAAACTGACATTTATCTGGGGATATACGTAGGTTTAGTTATTTATACATCCTCAAGAAAATCTCCAACAATACCTAACTTTACTTATAAGTGTGAAAATAGTCTACACATAACCACCAATTTTGATATTAGGAGATAATGTATATGAGCATGAATGATGTAGATGAGTTACAAATAAGGTAAGATACGTTTTCAAATGCCTCTCAATGTAATTACTGCAGTAGCTACACACTTCGTAATTAAGTACTTAAAGCAAAGATAACACATTAAATTTAAGAAAGGAAACAACTAACAAGAAAAGCTTTTCCTTTGTAAGCCCACAGTAACAATAAAAAAGAACTGTGAGGAATATTATTGCGACAAGAAAAAGACATGCCGTTCTCTTATCTTGAGACTGCATCAGCACAATAAGGGTGAAAATTATTTAAAAAATTATTTGTGTAACGCGTCCCGACAAACCTGTTGATTTTCCTGGCGATACCTATACGCATCTATCCAAAAAATGTGAAACTTATTGTAAAACTGCAGCATAATCTTCATATTCTTTACACAGAATAAACATTTTAGTCTTATTTGTAAGTGCGTAAAAGCAATTTGGCTTTCATTAGTTGCCATCTACGAATATCTTAAACTCAATCGAAACTACCCCCAATATTTTAATAATTCTGTTGGAGGATTTAACGCTTAAAAGTTGCAAAGTTTTTGATCGTAAAAGTGTAATAATATGCGCATCAATATTTAATGTAACGCCATATAATTGTCGAAAATTTACATAATTGCAACTCCACAAAAACAAACTCTAAGAAATGTCGACTATTTAGGATAAGATATTGACTTATCTTATGCCTATAAATAAAATGATTCAGTGTACATTTTACGTAATGTTTCCTGCCCTCTATTTTATCTTCCAATAGGGATGCAGAAATAGTGTATCTAGAGGCTGGCTTGCTTTTCAAACATCCCTTTTGGTTACCAACGGGACGCCCGTCGCGACGCCATAGCAACTAGAGAGTCGTTACATAGATTGATATGGCTTCTGAATGTTTCGTGCTAAAAGTGTAGATTTCAAATCTACCAGTTTCGTATATGCCGACGCTGATTTAGTCGTAACATCCCCTAAATAATTGTGATGGATAAATTAACGCAATTTGTCTCTAGGTCATTTGAAACTAGCACTAGTGTCGTAAGCGCAGAACGGTGTTTAAACCTAAGTTCAAATTTAGTGAAAATTTACCCACAATCGGAACAACAACTGACGGAAAGTGCAGTCAAAAGTGAAGAGCAATCAGTGTCTGTAACAAAAACGTCGCAAATGGAATTGGATATATCGGTCTCAACCAACACAAATCTTGCGCCGGTTGCTAAAAACTGGTTAATTTCCGATATTTCCAAACACTGCGGAATTGATCTAACCATAAATAGTTCTCATTTAGTTTACAACACCTCTGTCGGACTAAGTCGGTCCTCCATGGATTTTCCAATGCACGATACAAGAACAATTGAGAATAAACGTTCAAAACAGTCCGTATCGCCTAGTTACCCGAACAACAATAAGTGTGTTAAAAGCAGTGAAGATAAAACATTATCGCCCAATAACAGTTGTAGTTCTTCACCTTCTCCACAAATCGACTTAGAAGACTCTAAATCATGTTCAGAAACAATTAACGCCGAAAGTGTACAGGACAATAAATATTGTATTAACGATGTTAAGGAAACTCAGGATAATGTTGGTAACACGGATCAGGATAGAAGACAATGTAAGTTTAATTCCTGTATGGCTAATAAAGGGTAGGTAATGAAAGTGGAAAGTACTGCGACGCTATTCAATTCAATCACCAGTCAATTTTAATTACGGCGAAAGAGTTCAAAACAAAATGTTTTACATCATACACATTGTTAGATATACTCACTGAATGATTCAAAGTTATTGAAAATGATCTGACATTTTAGGGGAAATCTACCCAATTTTCAAGCAAACCAAACACCTTGTACGATTTGGTACAGGCATTACGACTTTTTTTACTTTAGAGCATTGATTGTTTAGTTCGTATAGTGTATAATAATTAGACTCTAGATTCAATTTTTATACGAATCTGATTTTAACGTAATCATCGGCTTTTGGTGCCCGATCAAAATTTTTGTATAGTGCATCTACTTACGAAAATCGACACCGTTTGATATTGAGTTAGAGATAGCAGATAAACATTTGCAATAGTCATAAGGTTATAGTACAGTCTTCTTCAGTCAGTATAATTATATAAACCCATAACGGGCCATCTAACTTAAAGATATATGAAATAAACCTTGTTCTTATTACAAGCTCTTTTCAATGTTTATTTAGGATTATACAATTTTTTTTTACTTTTATGCTCACAATGTTTTAAGTGTTACCTAGTTAGTTGTGTAGGTACCATACGTTTGTCAGTTTGAACCATGTATCAGAGTTGTGTGATCAGTGATCACGTATAGCCAAGTTTTTCACATTTGCTTCAAATCGTAGGTTTGCTCAATTACATTTTGTACATTTTTCCTACAATATGCCACTACCAACAAAATGAAATATGTGCAATTAATTGAGAATCATGTGAACCTCAATAGGTTTTTAGTTCTAGCTAACCAACTAACAGCGGCAATAGTTATTAACAATAACCTTGAAAAATAAATGTATTGGACAAGTTTATTGTATTTTTGAATGAAGGTTACACACACATTCTGTATTAAAAGGGTCATTGTAGTGTAATTGATAAATCTTAAAAGGTTTGACGTTAAAACCTTCATTTATGTCCGACAAAGGTCGAACGGTGAAATTTTAATTGATGAACTTCGAAACTGATTTTGCGTTTTGATCAAACTCGAGGTTGGAATACCCGAACTCTTAGCTTTAACTGTTCGACATTTGAATCTTCAAATGATCTAATAAATTCGTCCGATAAAGCTCGAATGGTGGATTGAAGTTCAGAAATTCAGAACATAAACTGAATTTAAACCTAAATTGATATCGTTGAACTGGTCGAAGTTTTGAAAAGTTTACGGTTCGAAATTTTTGTCCACTCTCAAAAGTGAAATGCAGCACTGAACCCATGTTCTCTTGGTTTTCTATACATTCAAAGTTCGAAATATCTGATATCAGACATTATAATAAAACCTAGGTGCAACCCCTGAGCATATTACATGATTACTTTCTTTTGTATTGCAAAAGTACCGGTACTTTGAAGTTCAGACTTGAACTTGTAGTTGAATTTTATGTTTAAGTTGGAACCCAAACATCCTCATTAACTCCTAATTTAGTTTGCAACTCGAACACCAACTTTAAGTTTGATGATCGAGTTCAAGGGGATCTTTTGAACTATTTTGAAAGATTAAACCGATTTACACCCGTCTTAACATTCAATCGTAACATTATACCTGATTGGAAAAATTCGGTTAAAACCTCTACTTTTTTTTCTTTACGCATTGTTTTAAAATTCATAATAATTCATAATAATAAAGAAGCATTACAAAATGGCTATTGCGAGGTAAATATCGTATATAGTTAGCTGTTCATTTTTCCAAAGAAGACGTTAAATTCGGCTCACTCCACAATTTATGTATGTACCCTAGTTTTCGAAATTCCAATCCTTAAAATTGTATAAGTAATATGTAACCATTGAATACTCGTTGGATATTCAATGATGTAACTAAACTATAATAATTAGATTTACATTATCTCTCCTTCTTAAACAGTTGCATTTCCGTTTACAGGAATAAACAGCAACTTTTTAAATTACGGTTTGTGTAGAAAAAAAATTCCCCCAAACAGTCCTTTGGGCCCACTGATAAGTTCTATGGATTTGCGTCGATCTAATTTCATTTTAATTTCTAGGCGAGGGTTTATGTTAGGGTATAGAAACAAGTAAAAATTGTGCACAAATCTTGTGCAGATAAAGCGCATTTTTTAAACCGAAATACCTTAGTAAATAGTAGGGTAATAAGGCAGTAGCTGCTGCATTTATTGATGTTCACCTTCTTGTTAGATGATTAATGGGGATGGGATACATAAACATTTAAATGCCGCTTGGCGTACATTCGAAATCTACGCTATATAAATTATAATGCAAGAAGAATCAAGTCCTTGGAGGAATTCTCTTAAATGTTATTTTTCCCTTTGTAGGTACTTTCCTCAAACATTTTCGAAGTATTCACAATCAAATTTTCACATCGTCAGGAAATGTGTCTGGTTTAGAAGTTGCACTTGCTCTTTTGACACTTTGTTTTCAAGATATTCGCTTAGACCAGGGACTTCATCATCAATTCTGGTACAGATTTTTCTAGCAAATCCAGTTTGGTTTAGCTGCAATGTCAAAGTTCCCTGAACAATGAACTTTTCATAATCATAGTTAACATGTGCTGCATATTAATTTAACAAAGTCAGGTGCTTACAAGCCCCACAAGTTTTTTTGATGGTTATTGGTAAAGTTTTTCATTTTTCCTCGAGCTTTGGTGTCAAGTCCGGAGTCCGGGGTTCCGATGAGGAAATGACACGTTTAGGTGATCTGCTTCTCATTTAAAATTTAGAGTAGGTTGTGTAATTGCAGAGTTAAATCATTAGCGTGTCATCCTAATGGTGTAAGAATTATTTCATTATATTGTATTGTCTTCATACTTCCACTTATAAGTGGGAAACTCTGAGACATGGTTGTAATACGTATCAGATGCAATAAACAATCTGAAAAAGTACAAAAACAAAACTGCATAAGAAATTGACGAAAACTTGCGGAAAAGTTGCAATTAGACAGAATTAATGTTACAAACTTAATTTGAAAGGTGCTGTCGAATTTGCATTGATTGAAGAGCTTCCGAGGCGTTATCCTTATAATAACTTTTTCTAGTTTGAACTGATCTCTGTTAAACGAGTTTTGAAAATGCAATTATGAAATTGAAATAGCTCTCAAATAGCAAGAATGACAATGAATATGAGAGAACGTATACAGAAGGATTCAAGAAAATCTCTCGCGTACAATATAAGGATTGGCATAACTTGAATGTAACCCTTAAGGCATAAGGAAATGAAGGTTCGCAAGTTTGAAAGATTATGAAACTGTATTTAAAGGTAATGCTCTCGTGAGTCGTATTTCGTGTGGCAAACAATTAACTAATTGTAATGTTAATTGAGAAACCTGTAAAAAAACTTTCAAACAAAACCTCCTAAGCTTAGATGCTTCAATTAAGAAAATGTAATTAATTAATGTCACGGGTAGAAACGCCGTTGAGAAATTACTTAGGCGTGAAAATGTTGAAAAAGCCTAAAGCTGTTTCCGTAAGTAGATTGTCTTTCTCCATAAGTGGAACGAACCGTGACAGAACCGTGTAAGAAGGAGGAAGAAGATAGAGTAAGTCTTCCCTGGGGAGGAATTAATGCCGACAATACCCGTATTTAATGCCGGTCCCGCCTCCGCGGGGTAATAAAGTTATAGGGAAATAGCGCCTAGATTAATTTAATTCAATTACTTTAATGAAGATACAAAATGTGTAACTTCATTCAGATAAAATGGAAAGCTGTGTTTATATATACGCCCCCTGTAGGGTGCTACCCTGAGTTGTATTTAAACATTGTCGCTATACGATTTTTCCATTCGATTTCGCTTATATTCATTATCACCAATTTATATATGGCAATTGCTTTAATTTTCGATTTATTAGGTTAATGGATTTACGCTTTTCTCGCATATAGAATTGATCTCAGCACGCCCTTACATTTTGTCCGACAATCGTTTTAACCAAGTAGTAAACGCAAATAGGAAATTCAGGCATCAGGATTCGCAAAAGTTCTATGCCTATAAGTACTTGTCAATCTCACAGAACAGAATTACCAAAGATATAATTACTGCGACTGCGGTTAGTTTATTTATATATTATTTAAATTGACAGAACTCTATAATATGCTATTAAAGATAGAGCCAAAGTTCTCTCACCCTCAAACCGAGATAAAGACGTGAAAATTAGAACGCTTCCTTTTGAAATTATTTCCCATTTTTTTGACACTTGATATATGAGTACAACGGCCATCTTGAATGTTTTTTAATTGCAACATAGTACATGTGATACGTGTCATTAGAAAGCTTATTTCTATACCCTAACGCCTAATTCTCTTAGGATTTAACAATAAAAAAACCGATTGGTATCTACACTTTTTATACATATATGTATAGGTACCTAAACCTCAAAACTTCCAAGAAAAACCGAAAAAACTGTTTTTTTCGTTTTCTATAATTATGTTTGCGAAAAAAGTCGTAGAGGTCTGAAATTCGAAGGAGACATAGATTTTTTGTTACAAAAAAGAATTTTGTGGTGAGCCGTTTGCGAGATATTCAAGACTTTCTAAAAACCACCTCTTCTTCAGGGGGACGAAAATTCTATTTTTTTAAATCGCACAGAACAGCGCGAAGTAGGTTTCTGAAAGGACTGATATTTAAATAATTCCAAATAAAAAGGTATCATTCCGATAGAAAAATTTCAGGAAAATTGCTAAAAATTGAAAAAAAAACAGTTTTTTGATATACACGTTATTGATATGCTAGCTAAATATATTTTTTATAACTAAATGAACGTGTTGGATTCACTTGTCTTTAATGTTGCTAACATATTTTCGTTTTGCTTCCTTTAGATAAAACATCTTTACTTGTTTTTTTTCTGCATTTCTTCCGCAATAAAAACAGAAGTAAAACCATATTCTTTTCCTTCTTGAACAATTTGGTTGCCTTCCCTGACTCTTCTGCCT